AAGTCGGGACGCTTAACTGACTGAGCCACCCAGGCACCTCCCCTCCACCAAAAAAAAAAAAAAAAAAAAAAAAAAGCCGAACATATTTTTAAATATAAATACAAGGAATTACGACCTATGAACTACCTAGTATTATGAACCAAATTTTTTGTCCTCCAAAATACATAGGTTGAACTCCTAACCCCTAACGTGATGGTACTGGGAGGTGGGGCCTTTAGGAGGTAATTAGGTCATGAGGGCGGGGCCTTCATGAATACGATTAGTGCCCTTAAAGGAAGAGCTATGAGGGCTTGCTCTCTGCTCTCTGCCATGTGAGGATACAATGGGAAGATGCCACCTGCAAGCCAGGAATCAGCCTCTCGCCTGACCTAGGATTTGCAGGCATCTTGGTCTTGGACTTCCTAGCCTCCACAACGGTGAGAAATAAATGTTTGCTGTTTAAGCTAAACAACAAACAAAATGAAAACGACAAAAACAAAAACTAATTTTATTATTCAAGTCTGTTATTCGGGACAGATTACACTGACTGGTGGTATTTTTCATAAACAATAAGCTTTTAACCTACGTGATATGCTTACCGATTTCTGACAGTCAGGTCCACAGAAACTCAGGCCATTACCCCCGTTTTAATGGCTACAGGAAGTGGAGCCTCTGGCCAGGAATCCAACATTTCTTTAACATCAGGATGAGTACATGGTACCAGGTGTCCAAACCATCTGCAATTCTATCCTTTGTGCTCTACAAACTCAAGATTCCAAAACTGATGGTGATGTAGTATCTTTAAAATATATGTAGGAATAGTATGACTTCAGGGCTCCTGGGTGGCTCAGTCAGTTAAGCGTCCTGACGTTGCTTCAGGTCATGATCTCACAACTCATGAGTTCGAGCCCCGCATCGGGCTCTGTGCTGGCAGCTCAGAGACTGAAGCCTGCTTCGGATTCTGTCTCCCTCTCTCTCTGCCCCTCTCCCGCTCGCATCCTGTGTATGTGTGTCTCTCTCTCAAAAATAAATAAACTTTAAAAAAAAAAAAAAGAATAGTATGACTTCAATTGAGAGTCATTTAAAGGCTGGAAATGTAGAGCTTAAATACAAGTGCCAAAAGAAGGTATGTGATCACAGTATTTAAATGAGATGTAGGCACAGCGTTTATGCCAAAATGGCTATACAGGATTTACCCTAGACTTAATCAGTTTTCCCCAGAAGGACCCCAAAATCTGAATATTTCAGCTTCCCAGATGATTCTGACATGCAGTCAGCTTTAGGGACCATTGTTCTAAAAGGTGATCACAGGGGTGCCTGGGTGGCGCAGTCGGTTAAGCGTCCGACTTCAGCTCAGGGTCACGATCTCACGGTCCGTGAGTTCGAGCCCCGCGTCGGGCTCTGGGCTGATGGCTCGGAGCCTGGAGCCTGTTTCCGATTCTGTGTCTCCCTCTCTCTCTGCCCCTCCCCCGTTCATGCTCTGTCTCTTTCTGTCCCAAAAATAAATAAACGTTGAAAAAAAAAAATTTAAAAAAAAAAAAATAAAAGGTGATCACAAAGGGTGCAGTGGTGTAAGCCGAAATATTAAATGTTATATATACAGAACTTCAATTGCACTGAACCGGAACAGTCTTTTATCCCGTCTACGTTCTTACCTTGCCCAGGACATGAGGAATGCAACCCTCTCCCTGAATTCTGAGCCAAAATATTACCCTATAGAAGTTCTGTTGAAAAATCAAAATCAGGAGCTGCCCGAGGATGTGAACCCTGCCAAAAAGGAGGTAAGTAGCTAAAGGAGCTGCGTCTAATGTGAGTGGAGCTCTCCATGAGGAAAGCACCTGTCTCAATCTACGGCCTAGGAGGACAGCTCTGGCACATTGTAGGCCCCTCAACAGACATCTGAGCTACCCAGTAGCTCAAGACAATACCCCAGGCTCCTTTTTTTTTTTTTTTATCACCTCTCACAGCAACCCATCAGCTAGCCTCTGCCCCCTCCCCTCCATCTCTCTGCTGTCCAGCCATCATGGACGACTGCAATAGTCCCCCAACTGATTTCCACCCTTGTCCCTACGATCAGTTCCCCACATAACAGCCAATAGGCTTTTAACACAGGTAACACTGTTCTGCTCGAAACACCTCACGTGGCTTCCCACTGCAATTAGAACAGAATCCAAAATCCCTTCTGTGGCCTCCAAGGCTCTACACAGCCTGGCCCCTGCCCACCTCTCTGATTTCACCTCATCGACCACTGCCTTCTTCACTTCCCACCCCCTCCGGCCTGTGGCTCCCTTTCTGTCTCAAACCTGCTCATCCCAGCCTTCAAGCCTTTACACTTGCTACTGCTCCCACCCAAAAATACTTTCTTCTCTCAGATCCTCACAGAGCCAGCTCCTCCACACTGTTTAGGCCTCAGCTTCAATGCCCACCCTCGGAAAGGCCTTCCCTGACCACCCTGTCAAATACTGCTTAAGAGTAAGCTCCTTGTCTGTCTCATTCGCCACCACATTCTCCGCTTTTCAGCACCTGTAACAGTTCCTGCCACAAGCAGGCCCTCTTTAAGTTTTGGCTGAGTGAATGAACACGTTGAATTAATTAACTCATTTTCCCCTTGAAGGAGTTGATTTGGGAAGGGCCTCTGGGTTTCCCCCAATGCCTTACCCAACCAACTCTTAAGTATCTGAACTACAACTTTCTTGAAAACAGAGGCCGTACCTTCATTCAGACAGAAAATATTCAGTAAGCATCAACAAATAAACGTTAGGAGAATTTTATGCGCTCAACAAGATCCACTTGATCATGCATTTGGAAATGTCTGGTTAGGGATGCCTGCGTGCCTCAGTCGTTTGAGCGTCCAACTCGATTTCGGCTCAGGTCATGATCTGTGGTTCGTGGGATTGAGACCTACGTCGGGCTCTGTGCTGACAGTGAGGAGCCTGCTTGGGATTCTACCCCCCACCCCTCGCTGCTCCTCCCCTGCTCACACACACGTGCACACGCTCTCAAAAATAAACATTAAAAAAAAAAAATGAAAATGTCTGGATAAAAATGGTAGATAAAGGCATGAAGCACAGAAAACCATCACTCAATTCAGTTCTCCATTCAGCCAAAACCTAATGTGTAGAATTCATCATATATAACCCATTCTTGTTCTTCTGGAAAAAAACTGGTGCCGGGTGGGACCATGAGAGCAGCAAATCCAGTCAGCTTCTCCTCTGGCCAAAATGAGACCCCACAACCTAAGAACTCTTCAATGAGTAATTTAAGTCTATTACGGACTTTCTGAAAACTTCACTCTCTTTCCCGCTTCAAAGACACTCTCTGGCTCTACCCTCCCCACTTCTGCTGGCATTGATAGGTGCCATGTTTTCCTTCTAACTGGAGACTCTGTTTTCTCTCTTAGAATTACCTCTCTGAACAGGACTTTATTTCTGTGTTTGGCATCACAAGAGGGCAATTTGCTGCTCTGCCTGGCTGGAAGCAGCTCCAAATGAAGAAAGAAAAGGGGCTTTTCTAAGGCAAGAAGCTATATGCCTACTGCAAGACCACAGAAGAGAGCAGAGCGTGCCAATATCAGGAAAAGAATTTACCTGCCAATTTTTGCCTAATAGCCAGCTCCTTAAGCCAGATGCAAATCACAGCATGTTCTCCATTTTTCTCATCCCTGCATTCCTTGTTATATACCTAAAATGTTAAATACTCAGTTTTCGATTTTTGTGGCCTTCCGGCGTCCCAGCAGAAAGCACTAAACCTGCATCATGAATCCACTGAAGTCAAAGTAAGAGGAAAAAAAAAAACGAAGTTTAAAGCGTTTAATAATGGGGCAAGGACGCACATTGGTTTTAAATGTTAAGATCAGGGGGCACCTGGGTGGCTCAGACGGTTAAGCGTCAGATTCTTGGTTTCAGCTCAGGTCATGATCTCATAGTTCGTGAGCTGGAGCCCAAAGTCGGGCTCTGTGCTGACAGCGTGGAGCCTGCTTAGAATTCTCTCTCTCCCTGTCTGCCCCTCCCTCCCTCGCTTGTGCGTGCTCTAATAAGTAAACTTTAAAATAAATAAATTTTAAGATCCGTATTTCCGAAATCAGTTTAACCCACCAATCACTGAAGTTATTTGCATATATACCCCAAGTCAAAATCCAAATGCCCAGATCTGTATGTGCCAGAGATTTTTAACTTTTCAAGTAAAGATATCTGTATGAGAAAATAGTTCTTTTCAGTATTTGGGGTTTGCCTCTTACGGTGATTATTTTGTTATGTTGGGAGAAATGTCTCAGCTCTCGGGTATAAAGAGGCACTGCTGAGTGAGTTCTCGGGATAACTGGACCACTGTACGTCCTGTTTCTGGCACAAGAATGCCAAAATCTGCCTTCCAGCTGTCCAGGAAACCTCGGTCCCCACCCATCTACACTCCCATTATCCAAAAGACAAATAGAGCCATGTGGTACTGATTTTAGTAATGAGGCCAGCCCAGCATGTATACCACTGCAGAGAGCCTTCAAAGCACGCTACAGACATCAACAAAATGAACCACATTTTCCAGACAGCTACAAGTCTGAGTCAACAATTCCCCAGGAATCCATGTGGCAGAAGTAATGTAACTGGGGAAGTTCCAGGATAGAAGCACAGTCTAAAGCAGAACAAGAGTCCCAGGTCACAGAAGCAGTAGGATAAACGGAGTCAGACATTTTAGGGATAACGCTGGGGGGAGCAGCAGCATGACTACACCTGCCTGTCCCCGCAGACGCTGTCGGTCACCTCAATAAAGCCCACCTGTTGTTTTCTACAACTTCCCACAAGTAAGGACAGAAAAGCTAAAGTCAGCATTATGCAAACAAGGAAAAGATTCTACTCTCGTTATTATGTAATTTTATTTAATAACTTTACCCTTTGAGTATATCGCTTCATTATAAATGCAAATGAAAAACAAATTCTGGGTTTGAAGACGCTCAGGAAATAACTTCTCTTCATAACGATGTCCGGAGCTAAGAATAAGCATTTCCTCCCGGGCCAAGTCTCTGGAACCTATTCAGCTTCTGCTGCCTCTTCACCTTCTCCACATTCAAACCGCACAAAGTCTACTACAGACACCCCTTGAGGCTGCACGTACTGTCCCAATGTGATGGAGGGATCCAGCAAGTATGGCTGAGACAACATCTTGGTTTCCGCCTCTCCCCCAGGCTCATCATCCAAAGAGCCGACAGAGAGAGGGGCCATGCCCACCACATGCTGCCCGAGGCGGCGGCCAAGGTCTTCGAGGTTTGCTCTCCGCTCAGATGTCTCGCAGATGACCAGGGCCCCGTACTTCCCCAGCACCAGGTTGTGGGGCGAGGGGCTGTGCATTGCTCCGTGGACATAAGAGCCAACATAGAACCCAGCTGGCACCTTCACCCATGCAGCTCGTTTAAGGGTCATGTTTTCTCCCAGTTTCCCTATAAGAAAGCAAAAGCAGATAACACACTTCCAGGAGATGATGACTGTGGTCGTACCAAAATATGCATAGAGATGGTCAAGTCTGGAAGACAGTCCTCTGCACGCATACTGTGGAAATGCTTTAAGATGGAAAGATACCATCTGCAGTTGAAAGAGGAAAAGGTGGGGCGCCTGGGTGGCGCAGTCGGTTAAGCGTCCGACTTCAGCCAGGTCACGATCTCGCGGTCCGTGAGTTCGAGCCCCGCGTCGGGCTCTGGGCTGATGGCTCGGAGCCTGGAGCCTGTTTCCGATTCTGTGTCTCCCTCTCTCTCTGCCCCTCCCCCGTTCATGCTGTCTCTCTCTGTCCCAAAAATAAATAAACGTTGAAAAAAAAAAAAAAAAAAAAAAAAAAAAGAAAGAGGAAAAGGTGTGTAGGCGGGTGGGGGTGGGAGAAATAGAGAACACCTTTATGGAGCACCAACTATGTGCCACCCTGGGATTTAAAAACACAGGCTAGGGTGTCACACAGTTCTGCCTCTTACCGGCTATATGACCTTAGGCAACCCACTTAAGGACATAACCCCATTTACTAATTTATCAAGCCTTGGTTTCCTCCTCTGTAAGATGGAGAGGACACTGCTTAAGATAACCGGAAAGCAAGGTTCTTAGGAGAAATACACAAAGTAACATGTAAAAGCACATAACTACAGTATCTAGCACGCAGTGACACTCAAATGCGGGCTATTGTTACTACCTTAAACTTAGGCTTAGAGACCTCAAGCTACCCGCCCAAGGTCACACAGCAGAGCTGGAAGTAAAACCCACATCTCAGTCCAAAGCAAGTAAGAGTTTTCTTCCTCCCCAAATTACCATCCCTTCCGAAAATCACCGTTAACTGACACAGACAACTCTTCGTCATCGTCCACTGTATCAGGAAAAAGTCCACAACTCTAAAAGCCCCAGAAAATCCAAAACCCCAAGTCATCAGATAGTTTCAACTTCCTCCCATCAGAAACAAAAAGGCAACATTTTCAGAGTTGTTTTTAAGAACCAAAAATGGGGCATCCGGATTGTTCAGTTGGTTAAGCATCCAACTCCTGGTTTCAGCTCAGGTCATGGTTTCACAGTTTGTGAGTTTGAGCCCCACGTCAGGCTCTGCGCTGGCAGCATGGAGCCTGCTTGGGATTCTCTTTCTCCCTCTCTCTTTCTGCCCCTCCCCCACGCCCATCTCTCTCAAAATAAAAAAAGAACTTTTAAAAAACTTATTAACAAACAAAAAAAACAAACAAACATGATTCCAGTTTTCCCTGTCTCTAACAGAAATTCAAATAAGCTAAAAGGTAGGAAGGAGCAGAAGACCCCAAAAGGGATCTGGGTATATATCCCTGCATTAGCCATAGTTCTATCTAAGAGTCTTCAAGGGGGGAGTATCCAGAAATCAATCTTAAAACTACTTAAAACTACTCAAAGCATCTCAGAGCGTCTGGGTGGCTCGGTTGGTTAAGTGTCCAACTTCGGCTCAGGTCATGATCTCATGGTTGTGAGTTCGAGCCCCACATCTGTGCTGACAGCTCAGAGCCTGGAGACTGCTTCAGATTCTGTGTCTCCCTCTCTCTGTCCCAGCCCTGCTCATGCTCTCTCTCAAAAATAAA